GTGAAGTGCATTTTGTGAGTGTTATGCTTGGGTTTGAATGGGAAACTTAAGACCAGCTCTGTGGGGCTCCCAGGCTTGCTTGCTCCCGTTTCTGGGGTTCTGAATGTGTTCCAGCAACTGCAACAACTGTGTGGTGCTGTCAGGCTCCATCGGGACAAGCCCAGCCAAGGGGAAGTTTCCAAAGCTGTGCAGAGGAGGGCAGTGAATTCCCACATAGCTTTCAGGCTGTTTTGGCTCAAAATGCGACTCAGAGGTGGCACATAAAGAGACAGCACTGCTTATAACCCCATAGGTGCACTGCTGGCATTTCAACACTGGGTCAGTGCTAAGTGGATTGGAGGTCCACTTTTGGATGTTGCAGACCTTTTGTCTTGGTTTAGAGAAACCTGAAAGAATTGCACTCTGAGTAGTGGGGAATATAGGAAGAGCTCATTCTGTGCAATGCATGGCAGTGTTCCTTACTGGCAAGGCTCTGCTCTGTCTTGCACCAGGAGAGACCCCCACTGCCATGCTGGAGCTCTGTGCTCTGCTCATGTGAGCCCTTCAGGTATCACTGTGCCTCCATCCCAAATCATAGAATCATAGAATCATAGAATCACAGAATGGCCTGGGTTGAAAGGGACCACAATGATCACCAAGTTTCAACACCCCTGCTATGTTCAGGGTTGCCAATCACCAGACCAGGCTGCCCAGAGCCACAAAAAATGGGATATCTGATTTTCTGTGAACAGCAGTAATTCAAAGTATACTGTATTGTTCCACTGCAGTCAAAACTACAACAAACTGCAATGAAACCCACCTCTGGGGGAGTGCTACAGCACTGCTGGTGATCGCTGTGAGCAGTGCCATTGATGCCAGTGGTGCACTAAGGACTGGAGCTGGAGTTTTACTGCTGGCATCACTATTTAAAGGAAAGGGCCCTGTTTGATTTTCCTGAGAAAAGAGCTGTTGTTTTTTTTTTAATTATTGGTTTTGAACTTTGGAAAGCTCTGCAGCTCTGTATGAAAATGGCAATCAGCTTGGGTTGGCATGGATCAGGTATCCTGCACTTGCAAGGGCTGGAAAGCAAAAGCAGGCAGAAACCAACGTAAGTGCTGTCACCAGCTGGGGATGCTCTGACCCGAGCTGTGGGATCTTTGCTCTCTCTGAAGTTATAACAGATACATTGCTGGCTTGAAACACCTTTTGTCCAAAGATGACGAAGTTCTCCAGACAGCTGTCTGTCTCTCTAATGGATGTGTGCACTGTGAATGTGAGTCAGCAGGCGGTTTGGTGACTTGGCATCATCTGCTTGGTCAGCAGCAAAGGTCTCAGGCTTCAAAGCTCCTCAGCTTCCTGGATGGCTGCAGGCAACACCGAGAACCTCAGTGGTGAAGATGTATGAGACCAAAGGAATTTCCAGTCTCATCTCTAAACTTGGGCGCAGCTTGCATCATCAAATACTGGTCATCTCTGCAGAGGCGTTTGCTACATTGCACTTTGCAGCATCAGTTGTCTCTGTCCTGACAACATGGAAATATCTAACCAGCAGGAACTGCTCCAGTGCACGTACATTCCACACATGGCACAAAAGCAGATCTTACCCCAGTATTGCACTGTGCATTGGGCAATGCTGGGGCGATGCGTGGGAGGAATGAGTTAAGATGATAGAGGAGATGCTGCAGCCTGCAGGGCTGGGCAGCCACTGTGGGTTCTGCAGCCAGGACTGCACAGGGTATGCACATCCCGAGCCTGGCTGCTGATGGATAAGGCCACTGGAAGCAGCCTGTAGGGCAGGGGTCCCCTCTACTCTCTGGGTTTGGGGGCTACAAATGCTCTGAACCCCTGGGAAAAGGCAGAGCCACCAGCAAGTGTACCTCTGAGTGCTCCTGATGGTTCCCGTTTCCAAAAAGAGCCTTACAAGTACCATTTCCTTCCCATGAATGTTTGCAAAATTGAACCACATGATCCCCAGTGCTGCTGGAGTATGGTTGTATTTCTTGATGCAAATCAAAGACTGCAAATAATTTTTGGCAGTCTTGTCCTGGCTTATAGCAGTAAAGTAACCACAGAATGTAGGTGAATTTGATGACAACTTTATAAAAACAACCAAATGTAGGCAGATCCAGCGTGTATAACTCATGTTATGCCTTCACTACAAAAGGAGAGGTGTCTTTACGTGGGGAAGATTAACTGGAGATACCCACGTTGGAGGGTTGTGATAAGATAGCATTACCTGACTGTGACTGGCTGGGTTTGTCCTGACCAGGTGTATCTAGGTGAAATCTGTAATTCTTTGTCTAGACAATGACCTCACAACAAGAGAATGAACTTTAATAAGCTGTTTTGATGGAAAGAAACCTTCTGAGCAACGGAGACAAAGCCGGAGCACTTATGAGCAACCTTACAATAACAAACCTGTGTGTGCATAAATGGAGCTGATAGGGGAGGTGACGGCAGAAGCGAGAGGATTTCATTTCAAAGCACCAAGCAGCTATTGCAGATAACGGGGTCAGAGGCAAAATCTCCCCCTCCTGACCCAGAGTTCACTTAGAGAAGAGGACAGGGTGCACGTCTGTGTGCCAGCCCTGCTCACCGTGTCCCTGAGAAGTGCCATGTGGGGCAATGAAGGAGGATATGCAAGCCATGTGGCCATGCCTTTACAGAGCCATCAGGGGCTACCTGGAGAAAGGGGAGCCTTCCCTCCCCAGCTGTCTGCTGCTGAGCCTGAGGGGTTATCTGTCCATGGCACCAAAGCCCTGGCTGCTTTATGTGATGCTCAGCATTACACAGAGGCAGGATGCATAATCCAGCTTTCACAGCCCAGCTGAAAACCACCTCTGCTGAGTGTGAATAGCACCTAGCAAAGAAAACCAGTCCTCCAGGAACATCAGTTCCCTTTTCCTTTGTGAAAGAAAGCATCAAACATTCGAAGTTCAATACAGTTTCAGCTCTTCATTTTCCACCATAATGAGGTTCAAGCTGATAACATCAGTCTTATTTGGATGAAATACAAGAAGTGCTTGATAGCATCTCAGTGAGACTGATAACATACGATATCGGTGTTCCAGAACTGACCTTCCCTGCGTGCAGACTTAACTTTATAGAGACAGATCAAGTCGCAGCCTCTGGTCAGAACATCTTGGCCAGAACACGGTGCTGTAGGTCTCTGCAGGTGGGTGTTTTCTGGCAGAGTTGTTCAGCTGCCTGTGAGCATCCTGTGCAAAGCACCCCTGCACTGGGAGGCTCAGAGCAGTGCTCAGGGTGAGGGGTAAAGCCTGGGGAGCTGTGCTCTCTGAGGACAGCTGCCAAGAAAATGCAAAGAATAAGCAAATCTAAGAAGCAAACATCCCGTGTGATTAGCATTGCTTTGCATATGGATGAGAAACTACACTGAGGCCATTCTGCTCTGGAAATGGCTTTCTGTGTTGTTTTTCATGCTTCTGGTCTGGAGGAGCCCAGTCTGGAAGTGGCAATTCACAGAACATCTCCTGTCTGCCTGAGTGGCTTTTGCTTCAAGGGGTTTCCATTGGATTAAAAGGGCTTTGGAGGATCCTGAGGTCACTGCTCTGCAAAGGGGCAGCAGTGAGGGCAGAAAGGAAGAGAGAAGACCCAGAGACACCCCGATTTTGGGCATGCTCCCAGGGGACGTCCTTGGAAAATGAATGGAAGTGCTCAAGGTTTCCCATTTATTTCTGAATGACTATAAAGCTCTCGTGCCAAAAGCTGCACATGGGATATCCACTGGGGGGACCTTCTGCTCCTCTTCAAAGAGATCATTAAATACATTTCAGCTTTTGTGTAGGCTGTTGTGTGGACTCAGATCATTCATCAAAGATGACTTTTGATCAAACTCCCCTTGGGAGGAACCTCTCACTTGCAGGCTTGAACCAGGGAGGGACGAAAGAAAGACAAGCTGAGAGAGTAATAACACACTTTAGGCACTGTCCTTCATTAATATCTTCAATAAACAAACACGTATATCTGAATATTACTTTCTCTTACACACCCACTGTTATCACTTAACTATATTCCACATGAAAGCACACTTGTCATAAGCCATTTCAACTCCCATCCCAAGTTAATATATTAGCACTCATTTCATTTGCATTTTAATGGTGAGACTACACTTTTCAAATAAATGACTGCACTTTATCAAAGGATTACTTCATTTTGACTGTAATGCCTCTCTGCCATGTGGGAATCAGGGAGTGAGGAGGTTGAAACAAGCCCTGCTAAGCAGACCTGCTGGCTTCAAAAACAGCAGTCCCAATCTTTACAATTCCATCTTTGGAAGGAGAAAAATAGTAGCATAGAAACATGCTGGCTGCTTCCCTTTGTACTGAAGGGAGATGCTGATTATGTAATTTCAGTCCATCATTTTGTTACATGCATGGGCTCCTCTTCTCCAGGGAGCATCGTTAAGGATTACCGATGGCCTGAAATGAACCCCCAGATAGCAGCCCCTGGAGTTTCCATCCCTCCACGCTTTGAATCTGCGCTGTGTGATAGGCCCTGCTCTCCTGCAGACCAGAGCAGCCTCCTATGGAGCTGGGTGGGATCCAGCATCCCTCACTCAGAGGAGGGAGCAATATGTTGGCCACAGTATTCAGCTGGCAGCTTACAGGGGCTAAAAACCCAGGATCTGTAGATCCAAAGTCTATCGTTTACACTAGAGGTAGAAAGATTCACAAGGCTGCATGTGGCATGCTAAATCTTCACAGAGCAAAGCAAGCGAAAACAAGAATGGAAAATGCATTCTTCACAGCAAGCAGCTCTGTAACGCTGCCCATCCTGCCTGGAGCAGCACTGACTTCTCACTTTCCTGAGGGATCCAAGCAGAAAGCACTCAGAAGCTTCAGGAATTGACTCCTGGCTTGTCCTGGCAGGACACATCTCCTGGTCGCATCATAGGGACTGCAGACCCTTTCACAGAACCTGCTTGGCTCCACCAGGTGCAGGGGCCGGGAGGAGATAAAGGAGGAAGCAGCAGCTGTTGGAAGGGCTTGGGGGATGGAGGAAGGTGTGCTGTGGCAGCTCTGTGGGAAAGCTGCTCTGAGTGCCTGTGAGTGGCTCTGGCAGAGGGCTGAGCATCTCAGGAGGTAGGGCATGGTGGAGGCTTGCTTGAAGATGAGAAGAGGAACACGTGAGATGAGAGGCAGTGTGCTCCAGAGGGTTTTTCTGGCTGGTTATTTCGTGTGGAAGTCCTTCTCCCTTCGTGTGAGTGTTTGGAGGTGCTGCTCTCCTGATAAGCTGAACACCTGGCTGGCTGAGAGCTCCTTACAGGGGATTGTGGTATGGAATTATTGCATGGGCTTAGTGCTCACTGTATAACGAAAGGTTGTGTAAGGAGAGTTCTCTAGCAGAAAGAAAAAAAAACCACCACCAGATTTTAAATTCATTCCTCTCTTATGGTTTTTAAGTCCTTTAATTAGCTCCTCTTGGTTACAGAAGTGCTGTGGTTCATAATGCCCCAGTGGCTGTGTAGGCAATCGAATAGTCCTTAAACATCAGTAAGTTTTATTTTAAAACTTAAGTCAGTGTTTAGCTTGAATTGGTATAAAAGTGAGCTGTCAGCTTCCATTTGTCAATGGGAATACTGTTGTGGCAAATGCTATTAAAAAAGGCATGTGAATTAAATTCTGCATTAAATGGAGTTAGGGTAATATACTGATCTAGAGACATTATTTTCAGTCTGGGCGGCGATAATGAAGGATGCTGGGAAGTTCTAATGCAAGAAGTGTTAGTAGAGATAATAGAATTCTCTAGTAGATCTATTTTTATCCTGTTATAAATTAGCATGTTATACTGACAAACTGAACCATGGGATGTCATGGAAAAACATCCCCGCTGCTTGTTTACAGCAGGGAAAAACCTGAGGGTCTTCCAAACTGGTTATTAATTAGAAATGTTTTATTTCATCAGGGATTTACATACTGTCAAAGCTTCTCAAGCCTTGGAAATGAGAAACTGTGGATGGCAGCAGTGGATTCTTCTGGAAGTCCTGCAGGGTTGGCTGCATGCTCCCTGGCTGGCAGAGGTGAGCAGCTTTCCTCCTTGTGTGCTATGGTTGCACCCTGTGAGCTGAAGATGCTGTGTGTTGGTGGCCAATGTGTTGTGATAAGAGTGAGCTGTGAGAAGAAACTGTGGATACTGAGGAGCAGATGCTCAGGGCTTTTGATGTTTCTAGCCTGGTGCTGGGGATTGGTTCTCACTAGCATTCGAGATGTGTTAGATAGAATCATAGAGTCATTAAGGATGGAAAAGATGTCCAAGATTAATTAGTCCAACCATCCACCTACCACCACTACTGCCCATTAAAACATGACCTTAAATACCACATCTCCACCATCCTTGGACACCTCCAGGGACGGTGACTGCACCACCTCCCTGGGCAGCCTGTTTTAATACACCACCACTCCTTCTGATAAGAAATTATTCTTAATATCCAAACCTGGACCTGCCTTGGTGAAACTTGAGGCCATCACTTCTCACCCTATCACTGTTACCTGGGAGCAGAGACTAACACCCACCTCACCACACCCTGTCAGAGAGCTGTAGAGAGCAATAAGGTCACCTCTGAGCCTCCTCTTCTCCAGACTGACCCATCCCACTTCCCTCAGCTGCTGCCTATAAGACTTGTGCTCCCTATATGCATCTTCTGTTTGGGATCCTGTCTTTATGGGGTGCCTCCATTTCCAGGATGTGTCTCCAATCTTCATCTAAGCATATGTCCCTTCTGTGCTGAGGATGAGATGAGGACAGACCTGTCCTTGTGCAACAGGCTGGCTGTGCTGCCACTGGAAAGAGTTGCTGATAAACTGTTGATGGATTGCCATGAGGGTTCTGCACATAGCAATAGGCTTTGCTGGCAGGTCTGCTGAAAACTAGGCTTCCCTGAAGAGTGAAGGGAGGTGGGATGGAGCCCATAGGAAAACAGGGAGATGACAGTGGGTCACTGTCCTGCTGCCAACTCCAGGTAAGGTAGGAGAAGACCAGATGGAAACAGTTGGGTTTCTCCTAGTTCTGCTAGTGGTGAAGAGCCTCTCGTTTGACTGTGGGACATCAGTACCCTGGGGGTGATCTCTGCACTGCTGGTAGCCTGGTGCTGGCCAGCCTCCAGCTAACATCACGGACTTAACCTGTTACTCATCAGCATTTTAATTGTTACAGTTCTTACCACACGCCTCAACTATTTCATAAACGCTGTCTCTAAATCCCTTGAACATGTTTAAAATAATTCCCCAGGCATGCATGGACAGGGCTGCCCGCATTCCTCCTCGGTTATACATAATGCTGCTGAAGCCTGGGATGGTTATGACTGAATGTATTTATACCACAAAATCTCTTCTGCGTTGCTTGGGATTTGAGTCATGTAATTCATGTGAGCTTCCCAAAAGGCTGAAGCACCCAGCAGGGCTTAGCGGCCGCTCCTGGGGTTTGTAGCAGAAGGCTCTTTGCAATGTGCTGCACCTACACATGTATCTCAAAGTAGTGGCAGGCAGAAATAGCTCTTGGACTATGACTTGAGAAAAATCCCTTTGATGTGACGCTTTGCACGTATTCAGGAACCTGCTACTCTCTTACTGGGGACTGTGGCAGATGCTGATGCGTTCCCTCCTCTGCCCTGCTTGACTGATGAAGGCTACAGCTCCCCAGGGGCTCCCAGCATGGGCCTGGTGCTCAGGGCTCGGTCCTGCTTTGTTCAGCTGGTGACTTCACATGGCGACAGATGGCCTTTGTGCTCTGACCCTCTTCCTTCTCTGACCAGTGGCTTCTAAGTGCCATTCATCTTCCTCTGGGCTTGACAGTAGAGAGCAAACAAACACACCCCAGAGAGGAGATTTTTCCCCATCTTGTTTTGGGATGTTTTGGAAAAAACAAGCATCCTGTAATACCAAAATCAGCAAGTCTTGGCTCCAAAATCCCACGAGCATCATAGCAGACGTACTTTCAGCTGTATTCCACTTCCACTGCCCTTGGCATCTGTCACTTTTGGTAGCCAGGGCAAGAGGGGCTGCACCTCTGAGGTAGTTTATCATTTTCCCTGAGGAGAAGCCTGGGGTCAGGGCATGTCCTGCCAACATGGGAGAAGTTCCAGCTGAGCCTACCTGTGGCATCATGCTGAACTAGAGTGGTAAATGATGGTATTTAGGTCCCAAGGAAGCTTGTTGCTCTCTGTGGGTGTTTTCTGGTTGTGTGTGGTTTAAGGGAGAACTCAAGGGACCAGTAACAAGGCAGCAAGGCACAACATGTGCTGAAGGACAAAATAAGGGAGATTACAGCTCTTAGCTGTGCTATAACATGTCCATCAGCTGGTCTTGGGAAAATGGCAGTGTGCACCATTCAGATGTAGAGCTGCGTTGTAGACAGGAAATGTCTTCCTGCAAACAGTGCAGGAAACTATGACAGATGAAGAAGTTAAGTTTAGCGTGGATTGAAGAGATATTGAGCAAATTGATCTTAGCTAGGGCTCATAGAGTGGTGTCTTTAGTCAGCTGTGTACAAGGCCAGGTGCCTGCAGGTAGCAGACTTACTGCAACCCTAAGTGAGGGCATCTGCTATCTGCGGGGCAGCATCTGTATCATGTAACTCTTTGCTCTTCTGTTTGCTGGGCATATATAAAATCAGGAGCTTTTAATTTTTGAAATGGCTGGATCCCAGATTTGCATGTCAAAGGAACTGTAGGAAGTGGAGCTTAAAGAGCTTTCAAGAGGGCATCTGGTCCAGCCCACAACACATACACAATCAGCTCCATCTCTATCAGACTAAGAGACTTTTGTGTCATTTATTCTTTCTGATTTTCAGTGGTGGGAGCTTCAAGGTTCCTTTGGGAGCTGTGCAGCTGAGCATTCTGACTTCCTCTCCTGGGTCCAGGGCAGTGATCCCCAATGGGTGGGAAGCTGTGCTGTGGCTGGGGAGCTCTGTGGGGCTGAGGGCTGCCCCTTGTGTCCCCCACGTGTGCCAACAGTGCTAATTTTTTGTAGAAGGGGCTGGAGAACAGCCCTGCCCTCCTAGGAGAACCTGCACCTGTATTGGGCATAGGAGCTGTGATAAACGCATTCAGTGCTGTGCAAGTGGGAAAGGGGGGACTTCCCCTCTGTGAATAATTAGTTTTCCATGTCTGCAGCTCCAAAAGGTGGAGGGAGAATCCTCAACCCAAGAGCAAGTCCCAGGGCAGCATGCTGGTTGTAGGGTGTGCTGACAAGGCAGTTTGTAATGCAATGTATGCAGAGTAACATGTATTACATAGGATGAATATTTTTAACAAAGCCATCACCTGATGCAAAACTGAATGCCTTGGAGAGATACAGGTGCATTCTCTTGGCAGAACTGGCTTATCCAGCGAGCCCATAATCACGCCAAAAACGAAAGACAGCCTTGATTTGACACCTCCACCAAAAGCAGGGTTTGCAGTGGCTTGCACTCGATTGCACGTTAGCCTGTAAGTTCCTGGTAGTTTTTAATGTGCTATTCTACTGTGCTGGCATCACTGCTAATTGTGCTGTAGTTTTGCAGGTCACTCATTTTGCCCTTTTAAACATTGGAATTAAGATGCTGCAATCAAATCCCTTAGGACTTCTTGAAGACTTGGGAAACAGAAAATAAAATTTAAGCCCAGAGGTCCCGATCTGCTGGGGTTTTTTTGGGGAGGACTCTGGGGGATCACTGCACAGATTTGATAGGGTTTGGTGGTGTGGTCTCTCCTTACCCTCTGTTACACAGCAACTAAATCTAGATCACCCTAACCGTGCTCCTGTCTGGCCGTGAAGCTTGTGACTCCATCCATGACCGTGCTGTGGGAAAGAGAATGCAAAATGATGAGTGATTGCACCCAACTGTTGATAAAATAATAGCAAAAAAAAAAAAAAAAAATCATAATTTCCCAGCCACTGAAATTCAGGTTACAGATGATAAAGCAAGGCCAATGCCATGAACCTATTTCAAGCAAGGCCTTACTCCTAATGCAGGCTGAATTTAAGAAATTGTACCATACGATCGCTCCATTTCCATAGCAAAAGGGCTTACACTGAATGCGTTGCCTTATGGGGGCCTCCTTGCATCCTTAATGCCTTGCTATTTGATAGTTTTGTGCTTTGCAGGACCCTGGAGATGAGAGAACCAATATTGCTGCGAAGGTTATTCCTAGCACAGGAGCAGTTAAGAATCTGTCTGCACACAAATGACGAATTATTGTAATCTGAACAAAGAATGGGGCAGTAAAGATCACACCGGTTGGAAACTTTAAAGGGACTGGAGGCAGAAAGATGAAAAGATGAATAAAAAAAGATTCTTAATGCTTACAAATGCAGAAATGTGGCTAATTGGTACAAATGACAAACACTTAAGAAGCGGACTTGAATAACAGTTGCTAAGATTCTCTGGCTTGTTGCAGCACTGTTGGGGTGTGCTTAGGGCAGCATTTGGATCCTGAAATAGTGCCTGATGCTTCTTCTGCTGTGAAATCAGAAGGAAAACATTCCTGTGTGGTGCGTTTCTAATGTTTTCCTAATGCCATTTTATCAGCCTGGCTTCCAGCTTAAAGTATCACTTGAGTGCATGGTGGGGCAGAACGCTGCTGCAGGAATTGGGTTTGTTGGATCGTGAGAGCACAGTGCTCCTTTCTGTCCTTGAAACCTCCCCATGTCATTCTGCTCCCATGTCCTGAGGATGGCAGGATTTCACCTGAGCAATCTTTGAGCCAGGTAGCACAGTTTCAGGACAGGCGATGGTCTGACATCTCACACCACACCCAGAGAACTCCCACCTGATGAAGCAGCCAGGCAGGAGCAGGTATACCTGCTAGCAGAGCTTGGGGAGCACCCAAAGTATTCTGGTGGAAAGGTTTTGGCCGAGGAAATTCAGGCCCAGCTTCCAAAGTTTGCTTTGTTTTGGTGTGAAACATGGATTTGTGTTACAGTTGCAGTAGGCTTGCTTGGTGCTTTGCCCACGATTAATCAAACCTCGCAGAGGCTGGCCTTGGTGCAAGCTTGGCAGCAGGACCTGTGCCTGGGCATGTTTACCTTGGCTTTGCATTTCATTGTGGACCTCTATTTGTGGGCAGTAAATCAAATGCATGATAAGCTTACAGAGGATCTGGACTGCGTCTAATAGATGCCATTACACTGCTTGTTCAAAGCTGCGTGTGTGACAAGGTCAGCCCATAAAAATAGCATAAATTTCATATTTTCTTGACTCCCACAGAGGACTGCGGGAGGGAGAGACGTAGGGATTGCTGCAGTGCGTGGAGCATAGTGATCTCTGCAGTTCATCCATAATCCATCAGAAATCTGTCATCTTTCCAAAGTTACTGTTTTATAAGCTGCAAACTTAATGGTCACCTCTGTCCTGATGGTACAGCACACTCCACATCCCCTTAATGGGAGATCTGGGCCCTGGTGTTGTTCAGTGGCTCAGAACCACTGCTGGGCAGAGGTGCAGCACCTCCTGCTTTGGGCACCTTGTGGCTTTGGGCTGGTGCTTGTTAGGGGCTGCTGGGGGAAGGAATGGACCCTTGCTTCCTTCTGTCCAAACCTCAGCTTACTGAACCACAACCCACTATTGATTTCCCAGTGATGCCCTGTTTGTTCCTCCAGATGTAACCTAGAGCTGGGTTATGTTAAACCACAAGCAAACGTCTAGTTGGCTTCTGCAGCACCTGGCTCAGGTTTGGGTGGGTTTGGTATACCCGTCTTTCAGCACGTGCTGCTTGGCTGCACTACCTTCCCCAGTAATATCATCTCAAGGACTGGACACTCTTGATACAAAAATAACCTGCAGTCAGTTACTCTGTCCCACTTCCATAATACTGTTTCTCCTGTTTTCTCCTCCTGTTGCTGCTGCCACTTGTTAAAAACCTGTGATTGTTTTTCTGCCAGCAGCTCTGGCTGTCTGCTGACACCTCAAAATACAGAGAAAACCTTTGCTATCAGCTCCTGGAGACAGACTTCTGTGGCAACACGCCAAGCACATGTTCCTGGTGATGCAATGGTCAGTGATAGTGCTGCTGAGCAGCGGTTACAGTGATGATAGAAGAGACAAGCAATTTTTACAGCACCTGACATACTCCAGTGCTGTTTAAGTGTGGCTGCAGAAATCCCCATGTCTGTTTCTTGCACTGACAGTAATGGAGTCCTAACACCGTTGCTCTTTTAACAACAGAGCAGAAAAATGTGCATATCGTTTTTCCTACAAGTTCTGGCTTAAGAGAAGGATGTGGAGGTGCAGTAAAGTTAGGAGCCAGCTACCCGTCTTTGGGAAATGACATCTGTATCCACTGCAAAATCCTTCTGTTCTGGAAGCAGCCTGGCTGCTGCCTTGGTTTCTGTTTGCCACACGTCCTGCAATCCAGAGCAGGTCTGAAGATCTGCAGTTCAATGTGAGACACAGAAAAGAGCTGTGCTTTTGCTATTCCAGCCACAGTGAATAATCAGCAGAGCTTCCTGGTGAAGTATTGGAACTGCTGAGTACAGCAAACAGAAGTTCACCCCCCTCCTCAGGACAGTGCAGCTCCTGAGGTCCCACAAGTGTCATAAAAGGTCCCCCACAAGGCCCATAATGTGGCCGGTGGTGTTCAGATGATATCATGCATTTCTTACATAGTATAGAGAAGTTCTGGGCTCTTTAGAAGATCAAGGACATACTTCGTTGTCCGTTGCAGCAGTAAGCCAGCCAACAGACACTTTGCCTTGACACGGCAATGTTTAAGGGGGAGGACTATGTCTGCCAAGTGCTAAGTTGTCTTCCTGTTTTAGATAAGTACAATAAATAAAACTCTTCTTGATCTCTACTGTCATATGCTAATTTTCTTGCCCTTTAATCAGGCAGGTTTTATTTTGGCACTTGACTGGGGCTTTGGGTTGTAATTCAGAATGGAGAAAAAAAAAAAGACAAGAATTGTGTAAGACATGGAGGCTGATGTTAAACAGGCACAGAGTGCTTGGAGAGTGATTAGTGCCTTTCTGTTGTGATACTGAAGTGGTCCTCCAGTGATAAATCAAGCCTGGTGCTCAGACTGCCAATATCCATTTGGGGCAATTTGCTCTCAGTTTACAGCTCTGTGGTGGTTCCTTGCTGCTAGGATTCCTTTTAGGATGAGAGGAACTGTCACCTGGGTAGGACTGTCTTTTTGGGACAAGAGGAACACAGTGAGTACATTTGCTGGAGCTGTTTGTGCAGAGCTGCTGGAGGTCCCCTGCTTCTAGGTGTCCTTGAGTTAAGCATACCAAGGCTTACAGTCTGGGTTAGAAGACCAGCTACGAAATCAAATGCATTCTAATACATTGACTGCCACTGTTTGTCTGTTTAGATTTTGTGTTGAGGGATATGATTTACAGAGAGCCGTTGGTGACAGGTGGATGGTTGGACTGGATGATCTTGTAGATCTTTTCCAACCTTGGTGTTTCTGTGGTTCTGTCCTCACGGATACCCTTGGTAGAGGATCAGGTTGATGCTAACCGAGGGAACCTCTATTCATCCAGCACTCAGCACTGGGGGTGCAATGGGCTGCCCTGTTAGCAGACAGTGGATGCAAAGTACCAAACCAGAGAGGATGCGTTGATGCTGGCGTGTGACAGAGCTGCTGATCTGCAGCAGATGGAGGTATCTGTGGGACTGAATCACCAGGAAGGCACCAGGTCCTGCTGCACTGCCACATCTGAAGCATCCCAACAGCTATCCGTTGTGGTGGTGTGGATGGGGCTTGATGTAGGTGAGTTAATCTCCCTGTTCACAGCAACGCGCAGCTGCCAATACACTGAAGACACACCACTACATCTGAAAACGATTCTTATGGAAGGAGAAACAGAGAGGAGAAGCTGTCAGACCCATTTCAGTGCGTGGCTGCTGTGGGGCGAGCAGAGGGAACATCTCGAAGGCATCAAGGAGTGGGGGAGAGCAGAGATCCATTGCAATAGCCACTCATCCCAGCTGTGTTTGGCACCCTTGAGAAACGCCTGTGTACACACCTTCAATACTTCCAGGCACATCGAACAAATGCGTTCAAATAACTCCTCTGATTAAACATGTCATTACTGCAGGTTAGCTCTGCAAACGCATGTACGCCATGCTGGGGTGAAAGGAGGGGCAGATTCCTCGCATTTAAACCTGCCCTGAGTTCAGTGAGAGATATAAATAGCTCTCCAAATACTTGAGCAATTCGCGTTCTGCTTTCTGAAGGCAAAAAGGGCCTCTTAGGTAATGGAAACAGTGGTGATTAGTAAGGGCTGAGGATAAAAAGAGGATATGAAAGGAGCAGAGGAATCCTTTGATATAGCACTCACTGTTCCTGAGGCACTTTCTTCTCCTTGTCTTGACTTTAAATTTCCCCTGTAGTATGTCACTGAGTCCACCTCCTAAATTTATACTCCAAAGCTCTTTTGCTTTGCTGTTCTATGTGGAAATGTACTTCCATCCTGAGCTGTGCTGGGCATATCCTGGGGAAAATGCTCTTATAAAAAAAGAAAAATCGATCTAAGAATATTGATTTGAATCTATATAGAAATAATTTGGGCTAGATTTGGGCCCTCGCTGCATTCATCTAGGGAATGATACACAGGCAAAGCAATTCATTTCTTTTAAATTTAGTTGCCAAAAATGAGGCGTTTAGTGTAAGCCAGTTGGTGAGGCTGTATGTCTCCCTAAGGTATTTCCTGCAGCAACCCCAACCTATGCTCACAGTGCCCTTGGCAGACAGCTGCTTCATCCCACAGGCAGGTGGATTTTCCAGGTAGCTGTGTTGCTGTGGTTGTAGGCCATGCGCAGGGAGATGCATCTGAGCAGGGCAGGAGTGTACCAGTGCTTAACAGCCACCCTGAGTTACTCCATGGAGAGACAGGGTGAGACCTGGAGCTGGCAGATACATCAGAACTGAACCTATGGGCATGAGTTACAGGACAGCACAGAGATATTTGGCCAGAAGCAGGGGATCAGCTGCAGGGGCTCACCAGGGCTCTGCCTGCTCCCCCAGTCCTGTTCCTGTACAACAGCTGAGGATTCAGCTCATTGTCTTTGAAGCACCCAGCAGTGAAAAATAAGTAGAAAATAGAGCTCTTGGCAACACCTGTAGCAAGCAACAGGTATGTTCCTGAAGTTACTTAGCAGGGTAATTAGCACAGGAGAGGCCTGCCAGACTTAATTTATTTTTAAAAGCCCCATCAAATTTAATTTGTGAGTGCAGTTCTTCCATCTGCTTTCGGGCATTATCTCTGGAGTTCAGGAGAAAA